ACAATCATTTATAATAAAAACCAACATGAAGGGTCACTACTAATGGTGTATTTAGTATAAATGTCTAAAATCATATTAAACATACCATATTTTGACCATTGACCCTACACCAATATCCACAGCAAATAAGAGGATAGCCAAAAATCATGTGTATTAGCACATGACTAGTGCATATGTGGCCTACAGAATTGAAATATACTACTGTGTAAATTTGGTTCATAGTGTGTAAAATATATTTTGGGACTCAGATTTTTATGTAATACCCATTCTGAAATTAGTGCAAAAAGAAACAATGGTTGAGGTCAGACTTAGCATTAGAATTAAGAATATACCTGACAACACTGGCTCCAACACTGACTAAATATAACAGCTAAAGTGTTTCTGTAAGGTTTGACTCAAACTTATTTTGTTGAGGTTAGTGTTTAGACTCAATTTAAAAGCTGCTTTAAATGGGACCTATTATGCCTTTCCATATTATATATCGTGTTACAATGAAGGACGTTCTTAAACGTGGCCAAAATTTCAAATAATGAGCTAAACATACGTAAAAGTCATTCCCTGTGAGCAAAAACATCAGGTTCCCTACCATTCTGAACACTTCGTTTCACACAGGTTTTTCTACTCTGGCTACAGTATGATGTCATAGCGTGACCACATGGTTATCTGTTTCGGGCACACTACTGCAATTGTTACATTATGTAGCCTACAGTGCCAGATGTAACTATATGCTAACGTGGGGAGGGAAACATGTTAACTTGGTTGCCAATGTCACATATTTCTCCACAATTTTGGATCAGTATCCCTGTTGAAACATGTATGGTTGTCTTTAAAAGCTTTTATCTGTAATTTCTCCTGGTAGAGAGTGCCCCTATTCTTAATTACAGTCATTTGCTGGCTGCAAGTACACTGCTGTCATACATTTAGCTACATGCTAACATCAGGGATACAAATAATATTTGTTTGCTGATGTTGTTAATTTTTCCCTAATTTTAAATTGTATTCTTTCTGGTGCATATCAGGTTGTGTTAAGAAGCTTTTATTGGTGAAATTTCACAGTAAAAAGTGCCAATATTCTCAGTTTTCAGGAGGGGGGCTAAAAGTGACAGGTGCTAAACCTAGCCTTCTCAGAGAGAGAGAGAGTGAATGCAGGTGTTCTTCAGCACAGACAGTATAAAGTTGTATTTGAACATTAAAGAATGTAGACATTTTTGATGAGTGTTGAGGCTCAAATATATATAATACATTTCTGCAGTGAACATCCACAGACACACACACGGTTCTATTCATAGTACAACTGACGGTCCACTTCAGCCCCCGGCAGTACATGGGAGGGCTGGGAGGTGAGCTTACTGTCCTCCCACTGCCAACATCCAGTGAAAGCGAAACTAAGAAGATACTGCTGGGTCCAGTGTGAATGTCTGTTGGGTATCCACCTTAAAACTTCACCATGGTGACCTGGCTGCAGCTGGCTTGACAGCAGCGTTTTAGACTGGACTGGAGTGTGGAGCAAGAGATTGGAGTGAAGGGGACCCTCACAGACAAGCAGATGTGAAAACTGTGGACTGGCATCAGTGTTATATGTTATGTTATTGCTTACCGAAAAAACTTAAATGTAGTGAGTGCTGAGATTAGCTAACTAGAATTGTGTTTGTTCAGTCACTGAGTCCAAGCTATCACTTACTATCTAAATCGCATGGTGTGTTTATGTCTGTGTCTCCTTTAATCATTCATGTTGAGATTTTTATGTTTTCTGTTTCATTTTTCATTATATTAATTATATTACCAATTAGTGTGTCCATGAAAAAATACTATCACATAATATAAATGCTTCTGTTACCTGATGAACATCTGGCCTCTTTATGTAAGCTCCGTGCCTGTTATACTGCCCTTTTCTTACATAAGACCATTAAACTGTTGGCCAAGGCTCAGGTCACACACACACACACAACACACACACACACACACACAGTCGGTTATTATGTTGACTTGCTGATACCCATCTCTTTGCTCCAATTTTCACTGCCTCCGGGGCTGTTGCTCAAACTACAGATTGCAGTTCTGCATTTCCGTAAGCCTGCCACCACGGACACAAAGAGCATAGGAGCAGATCAAGAGGGAGATCAGCCTCTTCCTCTCTCTCCATCTTAAACTCAGATCAAACTCAAAACTAGGCAGTGCTGATCAAATATGAACCAAGATTCTGTTACTGCATTGCCTATTTTTGCTTCATATGTTTTCAGAAACATATTTTAACTCACCGTTTAACTGTAACACAAGATAATTGGTTCCACCCAGCCAGCATATTTTTCAGAATAGCCAAAACCAACTTGCATCATCATCGCGTGCTTCAGCCCTTTTTTTTTTCTGCTCATGTGGCAAACATTTTAAAAGTATTTGAGTCTTTCTACTGTATAGACAGCCTTATTTTATGAAAGGACTGTCTTTCCAGGAGTTAAATAATCTTTTAGTTAACCAATCACATCCAGCCACTTCCTAATGCTCCTTCCTAATACTTAAATGACTTGCTTTATTGAACTACTGACAGTCAAAACTTGAAGAGTGATGAGAAGTGACATCATTAAATCAAATGAGAAAAGTGCAACTAATTAACTCAAAAAATATCTGCAATACAAATTGCAAAGAATTAATCCCTAATAAAACATTGTTACTGTGAAAATAAGAAAAACAAAATGAAATACTTCCCAGTTTGTTGCTCAATGAATTCATTTCCCTGTATTAATCCATTTGATTATTACCTATCAAAATGTGTGTTTGTTATGTAATTCAACATACATCATAGAACAGGATGAAGTTTAAAAAAAACAAAAACCTGAGATGCATTTACACGTAGCTACAAACACATGACATCATGTGACTTCATGGTAATCCCCATATTTAAAATGCAAGCAAAAACTACTGAAGCCTAAAGTGTTGTTTTTATACTTTTATATTGTAGGTGAACTTGTGATTGGAGTGTAATTTTGCTAGAACAACGATGTTAATCATCGCTCTAAAAGTTACACACACTGTTTGAAGCAAATGAAGAGTTTGTTCTCAGAGCTGATGGTTTATTGTGCACTTCAAAAATGCCCTCTGCTGGGAAAATGAGTGTAAAAAGAGTTCAGCCTTTCCTCTATAGGTTTTATGTCAAACTCTCACTCACACATGTGCTCACACACACTTTTCTCTTTCCATGGCTGAGTACATGCATTAGGCTCTTATTACACCAGTCAATATGCAAACCTTTCTATACGGTTACACAGTCGCAGCAAAGCACATACAGTACAGGCCATGGCCCCTATGGAAGAACACTATAGGAATAACAAAGTCCTATCATAGGAGATTAAAATTACTGCAAGTATAATAGGTCATGAAAACTCACAACTGAGCACCTCAGACAAATTCTTATCAACCCATTCAAGGACAAGCACTAAATTTAGTATCATGATAAAATTCCCCTGAATTTAATTGATTCAATGTAAGTAAGTATACACGAGTACTGTTCTTAAGTACAGTATTTCTACTTTAGGCACTTGTACTCTGTACTGGATCAAAATATTTCACTTCTACTTTGAACTTGTACTCCATTACATCTATGTACTCTTTACTCTGATACCTTTATTTGACAGCTATAGATACTTATCTTTTGCAGATAATTGCAAAACATGTGGTGATGATGATGCACTGTCATAGATTAAACTAACCACCAGTTTATAAAGAAGTTAAAAATTAGCTCCATCTCAACTAGCTAGACCAGAAATAGCCCCTTATATGTTAATAAATTAATAATAATACAATAATATAATAATAAAACATCCTAAAGAAGTGATTCTGCATAATAACTGGGACTTTTGTGTGCATTTCGCTGACTGTACTCTGTCCCTCTGCTTTCGTGAAATTGTGAATAAAGGACTTTGAGTTGCAACTGTGTACTTATGTACTGTGCCATTGGTACCTAAAAGATCTAAGTAGCCTTACAATTTAAAACTTAAGTTGTAAGCCACTTTTTAACACACACTTAGAAGTAGCTACAGTAAGAACAATATTACAGTAGTCAATAAAAACATCAGGTGAGTAACATCCTTCAGGTCACTATTGATGGGAATCCCTTGTGAGTACATAATGACTGTAATACAGAGCTACTGCTGACATGCAATATTAGATACCAGATTTAATAATGTAACTAAACTCGCTACTGAGTGCAGACTGTGTGGGACTGTTGTAATAAAGGACTTCAGTCACTAGTGTTCACATACGGTATTAAAATAGGCAGCCATAAAGTCCAACAAGGTCACCATGTAATACAGCCTCCTGTAGCACAGAAACACATACAATTAGCTATGATAACACCACAGGAATATACTTTTTGTGTCTTCCACTGGGTGACAAGATACAGGCCCAATCGACTTTAGATGCTGTGGGGGGTTTTTTGTCTGAGTGGCCTCCCTCACATTCAGATGTGCTCTGATCCACTTCCAGTGCTGAGAGACAGACCTGACTCACCCTGTGTGCAGCCCAGGCTGCAGCCCCGGGGCCTAACCAAACAAGCCCAACTTGACAGCCCTTTAAATGTCCCTGTTCAGTCGTCCTCTGCAATGACACTTCTCCTCACACATCACACGGGCCTCTGCAGATGCAGACGGCGAGGCCGGGCCCGGTCAATTCATCGGACTTCGGTACCTTTATTTGCGATTTGCGCAGAGCAGCAAAAATCCCACAAAACCGCAGCATCATCCAGAAGATGCGCAGAGAGAGGCGGGGGCCCGTGTGCACCGGGTGCCCGGAAAACACTGCATTGAGACCGGGCAACAGTGTAGGCTACCTTGCCTCCTGGACGGGACCGGGGCTGCATTCTGTCCTGCTGTCATTTTCCATATCCTCGGTTCTCATCATCAGCCCCGGTGTAGCCACGCCACGAGCGGGACACCACCCGATGCGTCAGTGCGATGGGAGATACAACTATGGAGCATCACAGGAGAAAGTAGAAAGTGTCCGCTTACCTGCACTGGTCCGCAGCTCCTCTCCCCTCTGCTGCACCGGGCACCGTCAACTCCGCAGCGGCATCAGAAAAAGATCCAGCTCCTCCTCTGTGCTGTCGGCGCTACCGGAGCTCTGACTCCGTGTTTCCTGTCAATGCGGCGCAGGTCTCTCTCTCTCTCTCTCTCTCTCTCTCTCTCGGACTCTTCGTTCCCCCTCGTTCAGCTGTTTTTTCTCTGCTCCGCAAGCACGCAAACACGGTTGTGTCGCCGCGTGCACACGCTCACGTAACCAGGGGTTGGCGGGCAGGTGGTTGGGGTGGAGGGCATGGCAACAACGATGATCCGTCCCTGGCTAAAATACAATTATAGTGGACACCTCGGTCATAAAACTAGTCTGCGCTTATATTAGTAAGTTTCCACTGATCACGTCTGGAACTGACACTTCTTTAACTTAAAGGTCCAGTATGTAGGATTAGGGTGATATATGTATTTGCAGAAACTGAATACAATATAATGAGTTTGTTTTCTTAAGTGTATAATAACCTGAAAATATGAATTGCTGTGTTCTCCTCACCTTAGAATGAGCCTTTTGCATTATTTCATTATTTCTGCAGGGAGTGGGTCTTCATTCATGGAGATCGCCATGTTTCTGCAGCAGTGTTGGGCTTGTTACTCTAAAAAAATGTAATGCATTACTTATTACTCGTTACTCTTTACAAAAGTAATAACACTGCTTTACTTATTACACCCTGCCGGCAGTAATTCATTACACTACTTGTTATATTAGTTTTCCGTTACACCCCAAAAATTTGGTAATTGTGTAAAAAATTGAAATGTGTGCCTCTGTGTGAATGTCTGGGTAATCGAAGCAACACTTACCTTTTGGACACGCTTTTCTTTGTTTAGGTTAAAATGCTATTAATAAGCTGATGGCACACTAAGATGTAAGTGAATTCCATCAGAGATAAAAACTCATAATTGTACCATTCTCATATGGTTCTAAGAAAACTCCGACCAATCACTGCATCCGAATGGAATGATTGGCTGAGCGTCCTGTCTGTCTTCCCCAGGTGGAGGCCTCAGACTAACTTAACCACTTGCATAACATCCGTTTTTACAGGAAATGTACAGTTTGCATAAAGTCTCTTTCAAAATAAATGCACTACATCAGTACAACACTGCAAATTTATGTTTTTTTTCCATCAACAACAGATGCATGTGGTTATATTTTGCCAACACTCGCACATGGTTGGGCTCAAGAAAAAGAACAGGGTTTGGCTTTACAATTTTACAGGAAGCAAACAGTCCCATGCAAAAGTTTGGGCACCCCTGGTCAAAATTCCATTGAGTGTGTATAGCTAAGCAAGTAGAAGATGAACTGATTTCCGAAAGGCATGGAGTTGATGATAAAACATTTCTTCAATATTTTCAGCAAGACTACCTATTTTAAAATCCAAAAATTAACAAAAAGGAAAAAGGGCCTGAAGCAAAAGTTTGGGCACCTTGCATGGTCATTACTTAGTAGCGCCTCCTTTGGTCAGTAATACAGCTTCTAAACACTTTTTGTAACCTGTAAAGTCTTTCGGTTCTTGTTTGGGGGTTTTTTACCCATTCTTCCTGCAACAAGTTTCTAGCTCTGTGAGATTCTTGGGCTGTGTTGCGTGCACTGCTCTTTTGAGGTCTATCCACAGATTTTCAATTATTTTTAGGTTGGGGGACTGTGAGGGCCATGGCAAAACCTTCAGCTTGCACCTCTTAAAGTAGTTCATTGTTGATTTTGAGGTGTGTTTGGGGTCATTGTCTTGTTGTAGAACCCATGCTCTCTTCATCCTCAGCTTGCTTCAGTTTGCTTCCAGAATTTACTGGAGTTGAACTGAATCCATTCTTCCCTCAACCTGTGAAATGTTCCCCATGCCACTGGCTGCAACACAAGTCCAAGGAATGATGGATCCACCTCCATGATTAACAGTTGGATAGGTGTTCTTTTTTATGAAATTCTGCACCCTTCTTTCTCCAAACATACTTTTGCTCATTGCATCAGAAAAGTTCTATTTTAACTTCATCAGTTCACAGGACTTGTTTCCAAAAAAGCATCAGGCTTGTTTGGAAACTTTGCAAACCTCTGACGCTAAATTTTGTGGTGAGGATGCAGGAAAGGTTTTCCTCTTACGACTCTTCCATGAAGATCATGTTTGTGCAGGTGTCACTCAGTGGTGTAGTGGTAGCTGATGAGGTGGACGTACTACTTAGTAGCTGGGTAAGTTACAGAGGAGGAAGTGGGCATACTCTCCTATATAGTCTAATGGTTTTTTGTCTGATAGGTGGGTATACTGTAATTGGCCAGAAAAAGATGTGGGTTTACCCCATATACCTGCGTATACCCTCCGCTACACCACTGGTGTCACTGCACAGTAGAACAGTGCACCACCACTCCAGAGTCTAAATCTTTCTGCAGGTCTCCTGCAGTCAAACTGGGGGTTTGATTTGCCTTTCTAACAATCCCACAAGCAGGTCTCTCAGAAAGTTTTCTTGGTCCTCCAGAACTCAAGTTGACCTCCACAGTTCCTGTTAACTGACATTTCTTAATTACATTATGAACTGAGAAAACAGCTACCCAAAAACACCTTAGTCTTCATCATGTTTTGTGGGCATCAGTTATTTGGGTTTTCAGAGTGCTAGGCAGCTGTTTAGAAGAGCCCATGGCTGCTGATTGACAGGGCGAGGTTTCAGGAGGCAGAGTATTTATAGAGCTTTGAAATTTGCATCACCTGACCTTTCTTAACAATGCTTGTTAATTAATTATGGTCTCAGACCCTGGAAAAAGTTGTCAGAGTGATCAAATGTCTTGGAGTGCCCAAACTTTTGCATGGTGCTCCTCTCCTTTTTTCACTCTAAAGCTGTACAAAACTAAAATGAATACAGTAATCATGCTTAAAATGTTGAAAAGCATGTATCATCTTGAACTTCATGCTTTTTGTAGATTTGTTCATCTTCTACTTACTTTTCTTTTTTTTTTTCTTTTTTTTATAAAAAAAATAAATATATTGGGATGTAATTTCTTTGTAATGACTAACATTTTGATTAGTAACTGTACACTGAAAAAAGTGATTTTTTGGCCCTGTAATTATTACTTCAGTTATGTATATAATTCTACAAAAAAATATAATTTCAGTGCTTTTACTTTAAAATGTCAGTTTTCATGTCGTGTGTTACTTGGTGATTGTTTGTAACAATGTATCCTCAATTTTGCATATAAATTTTACCCTTTATTCCAAGTAATATTCACTAAACTACTACATTAACTTTATTAGTTTATATGTGCAAGTAAAATGTACTTGGGTGGTATCAGTGGCAACCTTCTTTGCACTCGGAGCGTGACGTCAGAGGCCCGTTCCACAGTGTGTTGTCGAACGGTTCTGCCCGCCGACATGTGCGGACATAAACTAGGATAACTGGGTCACCACATTGGGATTTTCAGCGACATGGAACCACGGAGGTAAGTCTTAAGCTTAACAAACTGTGTACGTTCCGTTTTCTACGTTCCTTATTTGCGTAAGTCCGTGCTCCAGCACTGAAAACAGTGGTGCTAGCGAATCTTTTTTTTTTTTTTCCGCTAGCTAACAAGTTAGCTCAAGTTAGCTCAAGTGTCGTCCTTTTTGCCTGGAGAGGTCCCATAGAGGAGGCCATGGTTTTATCAGAGCTGAATATGTTGCTGGGTTGAACGATTGGCTCGCACGCATGTAATAAGCGTTTCACAGATTTAAACGAATATAGTTGTCCTGCCTGGTATGTACCCACCCCCCTCGCTGGTCAAATCAATAGTCGTCTTACGTTCAATGTCAATGACATTTTCCAAGATAAGAAAATAGTATTTGGGTTAAGTTATGATTTGATATTTGCGCACAGAAGAATTACCACATAAATATGTTTAAAATGTTGGATAGTTGCTCTAGAGGATGAGGCCGGTTAGGCACGTGTGTTGAAGTAATCCCTGGGGGCAGTTTCAGGAGCTCTGAGCAACTCCAGTTTTGAAGTTTTTTTCTAAAGTGAATTGAGCATATGTCCTAGAATGCTGCACACCACTGCAATGAGGTTTATTTATTTTTACTTGTATTTATTTATTTATTTATTTATTATTATTATTATTATTATTATTATTTTCGTTTAGGGGCTTAGGGACCATCTACAATTTGCAATACTAAAAACAGAATCTAAAGTATTCACAAACTACCTCTTATACATTGTAGAGTCAGAAAAAATGTGTAGAAAGATGTTGCACATCTGTTGACTTCACTGTTTTACCCTGTTTTGTTTAATTTTTTTTTCAATAACTTTGTTCTAAGGAACTGTAGTGTAACAATAATGTCGTTATATATCAGTAGTCTCCTGCTGGTTAGACTCCCAACTAGCAGGAGTCTACAAGTATGTGACATACCTTTTCTGTTTTTTTTCTGCAATTAAATTATTAGAAAATGGAATGTATGAAATATTGTAGCAGATTTTAAAGTTTCAATATGCATTCTAAGGCATGAGTTAATAGAAATTACTTTAAAAAGCACATAGATAACACTTTTTTCCCCTTTACAGAACCTAGAAGGACATTTGCTCATCCCTCTGCAACTTTGAGTCCACAGCTGATAGAAGGTAAGATCAAATTGATAATGAATAGGAACACAGAACACAGGTTTAGTTTTAATATACTGAATTTGAATCAGAGAAGAGGGGAGCATTGTTGAAACACTACAGACTAAAGCATGGACATGGCGGTCGCAGCCAGTCAGTTCCTTGTCTCCACACTGATTGCCCCTGCTCATTTAAAACATTCAATGCCCTTCGGACCCATTTGTCTCGGCAGCATGCACAGATCGCCACACAAAGTGGACCTCTTTTATTTTCTTGTCTACTGTGCTCCTCTGGTTTTTTTTAATTCAGAGAAGCAGTATTTTGAGCATCTTGGCAGCCATTTGAGAAAGTTTGAACTCGTAGCATGTGTCTTCAAAAACTGCAACTTCAGCACAAACATTTATTCAACATTCGCTACCCACAGACACAGAAAGCACCATTCACACTCCCCTGATGATTTTAAAGCGGAAGTCTTAAAACAACCCTCTGAACCCGTTTCAGCTCAGGATGAGACCTATGTGGAAGAAGGCTCAGAGCTTTTGGGTGGGGA